GAGAAGGATACTTCTCTCGCACATGACTCTGTTTGCTGATTGAAGAGGAGCAAGGTGAGTTATTTGAGCTTCCCTCGCACTCCCTGGAGCTGATGGAATGGGTAATCACCAAGCCCCAGGAGAGAAGCTCTCATGAAGAGCATAACTTTTAGAATCACAAAAGCTGGCACCGGAGTCTTTCATTGGTTCATAGGTTTCAGGCCAGACTAGATTTCAGTGGTGGGGATATAGACCCCATTTCTTTAATGAGAGGGCTGCAAAGTCAGGTGAAGAAGCAATGGGGCATTGATGCAATTCCTTGTAGCCTACACTGAACGTGTGTAATAGGGCACTTGATTTAAATCCAGTGGTCACAGGAAGATGTGACAGCTCTTCTGAGGATGTGACATTCCAGCTGAGCCATGTGGGATAAGTAGGAGTTAGCCAAGTGAAGAGAGAGGAAGAATATTCCAGGCCGAGAACTCGTGCTCTCTGAGCTCTCTGAGGTGGGAGCCAATTGGACAGAACCAAGAGGAAATGAATGCAAGGGCAGCACGGCTGAGACACGGCAGGGGAAGCTCTGGGTTGAGATGAGGTTGGTGGGGGTGGCAGAAGCCATCCCTAGCTTGCTCTCGAGCAGGCTCTGCTGGGAGCAGAGGCTTTACTTGCAACGAGCATGCCAGCCAGCCACCAGAGCTTGAGTTTACTGAGCACTCACTATGAGCCAGCCTGGCTAGTAGTATGGAGAAGACCCTTTCCTTATCTTTGCAGGACAGAAAAGTGTGGGGTCACATGAATGAGTGGCTTTGCATGTTGAGGGATGTGATGAAGGAAAATGCAAAGTGTAATATGGAATCCTGCGTGGGAGCAGCTGCCTGTGTGGTAGGAGGTCCAGGGGAGCGGAGCTGGGTCAGAAAGGTCAACAGGTGTGTCAAGTGACAAAGCAGGGGATGGGTCTTCTGCACGGAGGAGGGGGAGGGTCTGAGTGCTCCGGGTATGTGAGAAATGGCCTGGCGTGTGATTAGGGCATCAGGGTGAGAGAGGAGCAGATGGGGCGTATAAAGGATGTTGGGCTGCTGAGGGGTCTGTGCTTCATGTCCAACCTTGATGGGGAGAGGCAGGATGGAGTTTGGGTTTTATGTGAGGACCAGTCAGGTATCTGGCCGTTACTTAATACCACGCAGGGGAAGGGGAGCGGGAACTTTCAACAGGGCTGTCCACGTTGGGCCAGGGTGCCCAGACATGAGGACCTCTGGAACTTTTCTGGAACTTTGGGCTTTATGATTGTGTGTGTGCTGGTGGTTGGGATGGGGCAGCCAGGGCATCTGTGGGAGTCCAGACCGGTGTGGAGAAGAACAGCAGCAGCGGTGTGCAAGATGCAGAATGGGGTGGGATATGTAAGTTCACTTAGGCCTGAGGGAGCCCCAGGGGAGGGCATCATGGAGGCACAGGGGTTCTGGGTGGCTGGGCCTCTGGAGAAATGGGAATGGGTAGAAACTTCCTCACTCTTGATCTGTCTTCTGGCCTCAGCCTCAAAAAGCAGAGACCCCAAGAGCTAGCAGGTTTCTGGTCCCATCCATGACAGTATGGGAGGAAGAAAGAGGTGACTGGAGGGCCAGAGTGGAAGCAACTCTAGGAGGGTCCTTCCTGTGGAGTACCAGGGGCCGGGGAGGGCCTCGAGGTGTTGAGTGGAGCTGGGTTCAAATCCCATAGTTTGATCTTGGGCTGGTCCATTTAGCTGTCTGAGCCTGAATTTCTTATTTGCAAGATGGGCACTTAAAAAAGAACTCACCCTCTTCCAAGGTCGTGGGGCAAGGTCAAGGGGACAGGGCATGTGGACCGCTTAGCACAGAGTTAGGTCATGGATGCCATCTAGAAAGGCTAGCATGGCTGCTGCACTGCACACCTGCCGGGGTAGCTTGTATGGGGGAGACTGGTGACCGCTGCCTTCTGACTTGTGAGGAGGAGACAGGGCCGGTGGAAGACAATGATGGCTGGTCTTCAGGCCAGGTGACTTGGTGGCACTCAGGCCAAAGCGGGAGGCCCAGGAAGGAGTCTTGGTACTAGGAGAGACACTCCTCGCCCCCACACCCCCTGCCTCATAGGAGCTGCCCATCCGTCAGGGGCTCAGGCTGTCAGGCTGGCCGCGGAGGGGGCCTGCGGGCGAGGAGCGCTTCCGTGACAGGGGAGTCCTTCACTGTCAGCAGCTTCGCTTGGGCGGGTTGATAAAGCCATCCATCACCCTTCTCTCGCCAGCAGGTAACTGCTGCCGAGTACCACCCTGGGGAGCGGGGCCCTGCACCAGGGCTGCCCACCTCCGACCGGGCGTGGGATTTGAGGACCCTGCCTGCATTTGAAACTTGAGCTCCCAGATGCCAACCCAGCTCAGGACCTCCAGCTGCCTGGCGGGCTTGGGCCTCTGCAAAGATCACTCAGCAAGTGGGGTCTGAATGGCAGCAGGGGCATACTTGGAGGAGACACCTGAAGTCCCCTTGGCTGTTTTATAGCTCGCAGAGGACAAATGCCAGATTGGGAACAGGTGTCTGCTACCCAGAGTGGCCCACTGATGCCCCGTCCCAGACACTCCTGACACCTGCTCAGGACTGTGCAGCCTCCTGAGGGCTGGGTTGTGGTCCTGAGCACCCCCAGGGGTGAGGTGTTTGGGAGGCACTAGCAGCTTGATGTCAGCAAGACCTTGGTGAGCTAGGGCTCCTGGGGGAAAGGTGCGGGACTCCATGGATGAGTGTCCATCAAGCCCCAGGCTCTGGCTCACTGGCACTTTCTAGGTGCCCTTGACCTGTATGACACCAGACTCTGGGAGGGCACAATGGTCAGCCCCCCAGGGCAGATGGCAAGATTGAGGTGGGCAGAAGTGAGCTGTGGATTACGCAGCCAGAGAGCACAGAGCTGGACTTTGAACTCAGGTCTTTTCCATTCTGGAGCCTCATTCTTAACTGCAACACCTCCCTGGCCTCAGGGCTGGTTCTTCTGACCACCTTCCAGTAACATTGTGAACAGAGGTCTTGCCTATTTTATCTGAGAGAGAAAGAAGTTCAGAGTGCTGACGATAGCAACTCACAGCAACTCGAGGTCACCCAGGAGCAAGCCTAGAGCTGGGAGCAGCCCCCTTTGCTGTGACTCCAGATCAGCGTGTTTGTTTTTATCCACCAGACCAGTGTGTTTTCAAACCTTTATAGCCACAGATGCTCCTTTTCCTAAAAAAAAAAAAAAAAAAAAGAAGAAGAAGAAACCTGATGTGGGATCCACTCTGGATGACAGGGGTGGGGGGTGTTGCAGTTATCCACAGCTGTGTAACCAATCCAAAGTTTAGTGCTTAAAACATACTGATCGTTTATTTTTACTCACGGGAGCCGAGAGTCAGGAATTCAGGGCACAGTGGGGCTGGATGCCTCTGCTCTGGGGTCTGTTGCCAGGACTAAGGTTGGGGTGAGAAGTGGGAGGACTCCTCTCTCACAGGTCTGCAGTGGGTGCTGGCTTTGGTTGGGGGTCTCTGCTCCTCCCCGTGCAGTCCTTGGCTGAGCTAGTGCGCTTTCTCCAGCATGCTGGTTGGGTTCAAGAGGCAGGCACCCACACAGCGTGCCTTGGGCAGAAGCTACTTTGCCTTTCAAGACCTAGCCTGGAAGTGTCTTTCATTGTCCCTTCCAGTCCAGGCTCCAGGGGAGGAAGAGTAGGCAGGACTGGAGATTGCTCAAGTGATTTTTTGAAAATACTATCTGCCACAGTGCAGGGGGCCCCTTCCTTTCTTCCTAGCCCTGAGTCACCTAAGGAGTAACTGGAAAACTGCCCCATAACGTCTGACCTGACACACAGGTGGCATTTTGAAGATCAGTCAATTCATTAATCAACAGTCAAATCACTTCTTAACTTTCCAGGTCTCTGTGGAAGCAGAATTCAGCCTCATCACTGATCTCACTGGGCAGAGTCATTCTTCATTCACTTATGTGTCAGGTAGACACTGAGTTACAGCCTTTAAGGGACCCATGGTCAGGTGGAAGAGACATGTATGTGACCACATGCAATCACATGCAATCTTATCACATCACATGCAATCGCATCACATGCAATCATATGCAATCACATCACATGCAATCACATGCAATCACATCACATCATTCCCAGCAATCTGCAGAATAACTATGGGTGTCACTTCTTACAGGCCGAGCAGGTATGAACACACTGGGGTGTCCCAGGAATGTGGGGGGCCTTCTCCTTTCCTTAGACCTCACATTCCAACTCTTCTGTTTTTCCTCTCTGCAACCCTAGGACCTCTTTACCGTCCCCTGCTTTGCTGTGGGGTAGTGGCTTCTCTGCCTGCCCTTTTTGCCCCTCTCTGGCGACGGGTGCCCCCTCCTGGCCAGCTTAAAAATAGCCCCTGTCTCTAGCTCCCTCCATGGACCTCCTGGCCCATCCATCTACTTCCTGCTCATTGGCTTTTTGACCAGCAGCTGCATTAGTTGAGATAATTCTGTCAACACATGCCTTTTGTACCCAGAACGTGCCTGGTAAATTTGTTAAAGAATACCCCAGGCTAACACATCATTACACTCCCAAACTCATCTATCTTTTACTTCGGATTAATTCTTTTTTTTCCCTCTCTCTTCACCTCCTCCATAAATCCTGGTGCACTTAATTAATTTCAGTTCCACTGTAAGGTCCATAATACAGAATTGTTCAAGCAAACACAAAATTAATTATTCTATTTACAGCCTTCTCATTGAGAGGAGCATTTCATCTTTCATAATTACATTTTGGAACGTCCAATTATGAATTCAGGCGCCTGCTGTTTTGCATACGGGGACAGTCCCCGAGTGTCCTCGAGGTAGGGGAGTGGGGCTGGTGGCCTCTTGTGGCTTCTGCCACTGACCCAGGCACTGCTGGTTCAGCCCCTGGAGTACCTGTTAAGGAGGCACTGCGGCAGGAGCAGGACAGGCTGTCTGGAAGGGAGTGGAGCCCAGGGATGGGGGCAAGGGAAGGAGGAGATGAGAAGGGGAGGGGAGAAGGTGGCGAGGCTGCCAGTTTAATAGACGTCTTGTCCTATGAACAAGAGCCTTCAAATGGGAGGGAACAGACCTCTTTATGTTGCCAGGCTGCCGGGGGCGATTCCTTGCTTTTCTGCCAGATGGCAGGTCGGGGGGCATGAGTGCCAGGCCATGGCGGCCTTCACCTGGCTCTCTGGCAGGAACCTCGGAGGCCTGGCTTGTCCTCCTTCTCTTGGACTTTTGGCCCTCTTGGTGGCATGAGTCTCACCAAGTTACCAGGCTCTTGGCTAGGGTGCTTGCGGCAGAGCGGGAGACCCACTTTCTGCTCCCCAAGGCTGCTCTCGAGGTGCCTCTCGCGTGGGTTGGGAAGGACACTTGCTGTCTGTTCAGGATCCTGCTCTGGACCCAGGACTGGCAACCTTGGGACTTGACTCGCTGGAGTTTTGCAATACTGCAAGAGCCCCTGTTTAAAGGTTTAAAAATGTCAGTTTCTACATGACTCACACTTAGATGAAATTAAGCATAACTATTTTAAAGCAAGTCTAATAATTCCTAAGCGATTTACTGACTATAAGGTCCAGATTTTGCCGCAGTCCCTTCCCTTTGCCCCTCTCCTTACTTCAGAGAGAATGGAGTCCACTTTAACATAAGTAGAAGTGACTTTCATTTCTTCAGATAAAACATCGATTGTGTTCCTGCTAAATGCTAGGCGTTGTGCTGGGGGCTGTGCTGAGTCGTTTGCTTATGTTACTCATTCAGTCCTCACAGTTGCCCTGGAACATTCAGGGGAACCCCTGACCCACGGGGACCTCACTTTGGACCATGATGAGACTTGATTTCCAGGCTGCAGTGGATGCTGAAATCCCAGAGAAATAGGTTACACCCCGAAGGCGTTGAGGTGTAGGCGAGCGTTGAATCCCCATGCTGCTGCTTTCCAGCTTCTTAAGCAATGCACTTAACTTTTCTGTGCCTCTGTTTCCTTGTGTCTTATGTTGGGATTGTTGGGGGGAAAGGATGTCCTGAGCAAACTCCATGCAGGCTTGTGGACGCCACCCCCACGGCACTGGGAACTACAAATCCCATCATCACCAGAGGGGAGGCAGCAAGGACCTGAGGGCGGAGTTAAGCAACTGGGCTCTCAGTTGAGTATGTAACTGGCCATGTGGCCGGCCGGGGTCGCCCTCTTGGCTACCAGGCATGCTGGTTTTTTGCCAGCTCGGCGGGTCATTGGGGTTCCAGGTCAGTGGAACGGGTAGGACGCATTTACCAACTTATCTCCCTCTTGTCTCCCTGAGTTATTCATTTCCCCATTTCTGCTTCCCTTGTAATGAACCTTTTATCAAGCTTTTGTGTACGTCTGCAGTTTAGCATTCATAAGTCTCCTTTAAGAGCTCAGGTGAGGACCCACAGTCAGGCAACCCCATTTTGTATTGGGGTTTGCCCTGTCGTGCCCAGCATGACAGTACCCGGGCTGTTACGAGGTTTCTGCAAGAAAGCCCTGGCTTCTCCCCAGAAGGTGCCCACTTAGAGGCCATGTCTCAGTTGCTCCATCTGGGGCATGACTACATTTTGAGTAGAAGGCGGCAGTGATGCCTTCTGGAAATGAACTCTGCCGTAGTTGACAGCGCCAGTGCCTAGGATGTTAGGGTGGGGCGAGAGACAACAAGGAAGGGTGTGGGAGGCTCTCTGTGCCTGCTCCCTCCATTTATACTTCTGTCTCTCACGTGCTTCCAAATTAAATCCCTCTAATAGTTGCCCAGTTATTTAGAACAAAAATATACCCTTTAGGGTGGCCTGTAAGGCTCGACCAGGTCCTGTCTCTGCCTACTCTTCAAACTTACCTCCTTCCCCATCCATCTCCTCTTCACTCTATGTTCCAGCCACACCAGTCTTTTATTTGCTCCCTCTTTTCTACCTCAGGGCCTTTGCACAAACCATCCCCTCTGCCAATCATATTCTTCCCTCTGCTCTTAGCAGGCCAGCTTGGTTCAAGTGTCATTTCTCAAAGAAGCTTCCCTGATCGTCCTGCCTATAAAGTAGCCATTAGCCTGATACTCCTCATCACATCACCTATTAATTGTCTTCATTTCCCTATCGCCATCTATAAGTTCTAGTTTGTTTTCAAGCCACTAGAATATAAATCTGCCTGAGAACAAGAGTAAGGTGTCTCTCTGGCTCAGTTTTTCACCCCAGATTCATAATAATTACTTTAAAAGTGAACATTGTACTTCCACCCTCAGTGTGACTAGAACAAGCCTGGGAACAAGACCTTGCAGCGTTTTGGTTGGTGATTCGCTGTGGAGGAAATGGGCGAGGCTTCATTTTTCCTTTAAATCAGCTTCCTGATCTCACGGAGTCTTCCTTCATCCTATCAGCCCCTCAAGATGGGGGAGAGTCAGTGATTTATCTCTTAAGTGATTTTTTCCAGACCTGCCCACACCAAATAATTACTTGCTTTTGTGGGCTGAGAATGTCTTTCGGCTGTTCCACCTGGTAGGTTTGTTTTGTTTGTTAATTAGCTATTAATTGCAAGGGCTCCTGGGGACTGGAGGTAGAGGGGAGGCTCCAGACGGGGGCCAGGGGTCTGGGGCAAGCGAGGACCCCAGACTGGATTGAGGATCACCTCACTGGGCGCTGGGATAATTTATTTCCAATGCTGTCAGGCCCAGATAGTGAGTTCCTGAGATGATGAGTGATTTTGTTAATTAAGTCCCGTAAACACTACAGCTTAATTTCCAACAGTGGGGCTGCAGCTGGTGGGAGCTGCCGGCATCTGCGAGGGAGACTGTCCTTGAAGGAACAGACCCTGGATGTTGGGAAGGCTGAGAGCGCAAGGAGGTGTCTGCAAGCAGGATCCTCACCCTGGGCACATCCTTTTCTCCCTCCTCCCTTTGTCCCTTCTAGCTGTCTCTAGGTGTAGTGCTTTCTCTGCAGGAAGAATCCAGTTTGGATAGAGAGAATGCCCTTGGATATATGAAGGTGAAATCAAGGAGAGCACCCCCGATGCCCCCAAAGGACCAGGCTGGAAATTTCCATCATTTTTTTCATCTTCCTCTACTTCACCTCCCCCTGATCTCATGTCCATCATCAATTCCATCTCTGAGGCCTAGGGAGTTTATCTCTGAAGCCTTCTCTGTCTTGCCTTTGCCCCATGTCTCTCCCGTCCTCCCACCACCATCTCCCTCCCAGAAATCCTCCATAACTGCCTTGAGGAGCTTCTTGCTGCCTCTTGAGTCTATGGTTCTTTCTCCATGTAGCACTGCATGATCTGTCACCCCCTGCCTGAAGATCTCCAGTGGCTTTCACATTTCTTCAGATAAAGGCAAAAGTCCTTTCCAAGGCTGATAAGATCCTGCCGGGTTCCAGAGTGGGATTTCTCACCATTCTCAACTGCATGCCTTGGGACCAGTTTCTTTCTTCTTCATTCTTCATTTTATTTTTTTGAGCCAATCAGATTTTTTTTTTTTGGAAACAAGATGTCCCTCCTATTGGGATGCTCCCCACCCCAGTGCCTTTGCTCGGCTCACTCCCCACCCTGTGCATCACAAAGTCCTTTTGCCAGGTCAGGGCCAGGGAGCCTGCGTGGCTGGAGGGCGCTCACATTGTGTGGTCCTATCTTCATTGTCAGACTTATGTCCTTGCAGGCCAGACACCATGGCTGGTTCACTGCTCTGCTCCCAGTGGCTGGAGCAGTGAATGGGCCCATTTGATGCTCAGTACATGTTTGTTGAATTGTATTAACATTGAGTTGCTGTGATGGACAGAATGCAGTGGGTAGAAAGGTAGGATTTGTTTCCATGGGGTGGGGCTGGAGGGGACTATGAGGAATGTCTTCAGAGAGGTGGAAACTTGGAACTGAGTCCTGATAGAAAAGATGGTAGGGCGATAGGAGTGACAGGGTACTTCTAGCTGACCAACTCCCAGCAGAGTGACTGGAGATGAGAGCAGGATGCAACTAGATCAGGAGGTGGTGGGAGAGGGGAGGAGCCATCTGAAGATTATCTCAGACCTGGAAGTCAGTGGTGGCCAGACCCTGGGAGCTGCTGTAGACCCCCAAGACTTGATTCTGCCTTTTCCCAGGCCCTTTGAAGGATGTTCTAGGGTTGTCAACATCAGAGGGAGCCTGAGTTCACTTCTAAGAGCGTGCTGGCTCTCTGACGCAGCCTGCACAGTCCCCATCACTTCCCCCACAAGAAAAGAGCACGGGATCCATATCGCACAAGGCAGACTGACCAGGCTGTCTCCAGCCGTGGTGTCCTGGAATGATCTGGTACTGTGCTCCTGACCTCGCCTAGTCTCTCTTCCTAGCACGCTGCTTGGTTGTCTATTGCTATGTCCCAGCCCAAACTTGCTGATGTAAATAACAGCCATGCTGTGTGGCTCACAGGGCCTGTGGATCAGGATTCTTCAGGGTCCAGTTGGAACAATGCTTCACTGCTCCGTGATGTCTGGGGCCATAGATGGGGTAAGTCAGACAATGGCCAGGATTGGGAACCCACTTCCAAGGAGGCTTCTTAACTCCTGTGTCTGGTGTTGGGTTGGGAGGCTGCAGACTCAGTGGGACTGTCGCCCCAAACACCTACCTCTGGTCTTTAGATCTGGCTCGCAGGGCAGTAAGAGTTCTCATTGGACATCTCTTACCTTGTTGTGACATCACTTCCTTCCCTGCCAGTAACTCACTTGCATGGCCTTAGGCAAGTTACTTAGTTCTCCTGGGACTTCAGTTCTTCATTTGTGAACGGGGGATAATGACAATGGCTAGGACATGTGTCTTGGCCAGCATTAGGTGAGAACATATCTGCAAATTGCATAGAAAATTAGCATTAGCATGGTCTCCTCACTTTTAGCATGTGAGATGGACAACTTGGGTTTCTTTAGCCTCTGGGATTTCTGTGTTTATAGAAGCAATGGTGAAAATGGCTTTTCACTTGGAGTTTGGTGTCCTTCCCATTATGCCACACACTGCCCCTTTGGTGGCTGACCTCCATAAATCAGCTCAACAAGACAGCTGAGATGGGCGTCAATCAGCTTGGGCATGGGCTGCTTCACCAAATGCCATAGCCTGGGTGGCTTAAACAATAGAAATTTATTTTCCCTCACTTGTGGAGGCTGGAACTTTGAGATCTGGGGCAGGGTCCTCTTCTGCTGGGGACCCTCTTCCTGGCGTGTTCCTTTTTACATTTGTTTTATGCAATCACTTGTCTCTGTAGATATTACATGCACACATACATTAAATTATATACATTTTGGTAACATCTTTGTTGAGACATACAACGTGTGATTCACCTGTGTAAGTGTGTAATATGATGATTTTTTAGTGTATTCACAGAGTTGTGCAATCATCTTTGCAGCTAATTTTAAAACATTTTCATCACTTCTCTTAGGAGCTCTGTACCCTTCTTGGTGACCCCCTGTATCCTCAATCCCTTCATCCCTAGGCAGCCACTAATCTGTTTTCTCTTTCTCTATATTTGCCTATTTTGGACACTTCATATACATGGAATAGTGTAATTTATTGTATGGCCTACATTTTGTTTCTTCCTGGTTGCTTCTTGCCCTGCATTTATTTGCTGTGCTCTCTATCTTCCATGCCAGTGGCCTTTCTCAGGTCTCTGCTCAACTTGGTTGTCGATTCTCATTGAAGAAGGGGGTACTAATTGGCTGGTTGCTGGGCCTCCCCGGTGGCGCAGCGGTTGAGCGCTGGGCTGCGAAGCTGCGCGCAGCTTCTGTGACGCCGGTTCGATCCCCGGCTGCTCCCCGGCCACCGGAGGAGGGTCCCACATGGCGCGCAGACCCCTCCTGCCGCCCGCTGCTCCCCTCAGCAGTGTACTTCGGTCCTTCTGCCTGCTCTGCTCCCCGCTCTGGCTCTGGTGAATTCTCTCACCCTCCCGCGCTTCTGACTGTACCCAGTGCATATATAAACAAAACAAAAACAAACAAATAAATAAAAAAAAACAAAAACAAACAAAAAAAAAACAAAAAAAAACTAATTGGCTGGTTGGACACTGAGGATGACCTGTGGCTTATTTGTAGAACAGCTTCAGAGGTCATTATTTCTAGGTCTCTTGGGGATTGTTAGATCCCCTGAAAAGATTCTTCAAAACATTAATTCAAAAGGATATCTGCACCACTAAGTTTATTGCAACACTGTTTATAATAGGTAAGATATGCAAATAACCCAAATGTCCAAAAATAGATGATTGAATCAAGAAGATGTGGTATGTATACACAATGGAATACTATTCAACAATCAAAAAAGATAAACTCATGCCATTTGCAGCAACATGGATGGAGCTACAAGGAATTAGGCTCAGTGAAATAAGTCAGAAGGAAAAAGAAAAATATTGAATGGTTTCAGTTATAGGAGAAATATAAGGGAACCAAATTAGGGATCAGGAAAAAAATAATAACAATAAAAAAACCCAATTTAATAGGCAACTATAAATCAGACACATTCTGCAGAGGAGGTGGAGGGGGAAGGATCAAGACAGGGGTGGGGGGAAAAACACAAAGAACTAGGGTGAAGATTCATGGGTGAATTGGTGGTGGGAATTTTATGGGGACTACACTTCAGAGGAGAAAGCAAACATTGGACAAAAATGAACAATGATGTAAAATATATATAAATAAATAAATTATTCAACCAACCAACCAACCAACCAATCAACCAACCGAACAAAGAAAGAAAAAGATTCTTCAGTCTCCTCCTTAGGGTGAAATTTCAGCTGTCAATGACCTGAGAGTCAAGTGGGGGGAGAGTTTTCATCATCTATTGTACATTTACTTGATTCCCCCCTATTTTCAGTAAGGAATTCTGCTCTCAATAGAGTCTTACACTCTCTGCAGAAAAGCCCTCTACTCAGCTGTTGAGATAGGTCAGGGGCAATGGTTTTTCTGTGAAAGAGTAGGAGAGAAGATCTAGGTATCCGGCAGCTTTTTAAAAATAATTAAATCAATTTTATTTATATTTATGTATTCAACAAACATTTATATAGCCATTACTATGTTTCAGGCACTTAAAACATTTTTAAAATTTACTGTAGTAAAAACACTTAACTTGAGATCTACTCTCTTAATTTTTTAAGTGTACAGCATAGTATTATTAACTGCAGGCATGATGTTATACATCAAATCTCTAGAATTTATTCATCTGAGGTTTCATATCCATTGATTAACTCCACATTTTCCTCTCCCTCCAACGCCTAGTAACTATAGTACTATTTTTTATTTCATTGAAGTTGACTATTTTAGATACAATCATATAAGTGGAATCACATAATACATGTCCTTCTGTGATTTATTTCACTAAGTATGAAGTCCTCAAAATTCATCCATGTTGCCGCATCTCTCGTTTTTTAAATTTATATATGTATTTTTTGGACATCATTATTCTTCTCAGGTGTAATTTCCATAGAATTTCCACCACCAAGCCACCCTTGAACTGTCACCATAGTCTCTTGTGCTCTTCCCTACCCTGTTCAGATCCCTCCCTCCCCCCAATGTCTCCAATTTATCTTTTGCCTGTTAGTTTTATTTTTGTTTTTTCCTAATCTCCATTTGGTTTCCCTATGTTCCTCCTACAAGTGAAACCATTTGATATTTTTCTTTTTCCTTCTGACTTATTTCACTAGCATAATCCCTTCCAGCTCCATCCACGTTGCTGCGAATGGCACGAGTTTATCTTTTTTTGACTGCTGAATAGTATTCCACTGTGCGTATATACTGCATCTTTATAATCCAGCCATCTGTTTTGGGGCATTTAGATTGTTTCCATATCTTAGCTATTGTAAATAGTGCTGCAATAAACATAGGAGTGCAGTTTTCCTTTCAAATTAATGTTTTTGTGTCTCTTGGGAAGATTCCTATTAGTGGAATTGCTGTATCATATGGTAGCTCCATTTTCAGTAGTTTGAGAGTCCTCCACACAGCTTGCCATAGTGTGGCTGGACCATTTTGCATTCCTACCAGCAGTGTAAGAGGGCTCCATTTTCTCCACATCCTTCCTAGCATTTGTTGTCACCAGTTTTTTTTCTTTTTAATATGGGTCATTCTCACTGGTGTGAGGTGGTATCTCATTGTAGTTTTGACTTGCATTTCCCTGACTATAGGTAATGTTGAACATTTTTTCATATACCTGTTGACAGGATTTCCTTCTCTTTTTAAGGCTGAGTAATATTCCATTGCCTGTATACACTACTTTTAAAAGTACATTCATCTATTGATGGACACTTAGATTGTTTCCCAGATTTTGGCTCTTGTGACTAGTGTTACAATGAACACCATATTGCTAATAACAATTCAAGATTCTTTTGGATAAATATCCAGGAGTAGAATTGCTGGATCATGTGGTCATTCTTTCTAATTTTTTTTGAAGCACTTCTGCTCTGTTTTCTATAGTGCCCACACTTATTTTGCACTTCTAGCCAGGTTCTTTTCTAAGCTTTGTATAGATTCTTCTTTTAGTTCTTTTACCCCCCACAGTGGTACTTGATGCCTTTAATTCCTAAGCCTTTTGGAAATTCCAAGGTGAATCAGGTTGGTTCTCAGCTTTTCCCATTGCTGGTAGACCGTGATGCAGTTTTAACCATTTTGGAGGAGAACAGAAGGAAAGTTGGATAGAACAAAGCAGTAGTGTGCTATTCACTTCCAAGAGTGTTTTAGCAAAGCTAATGGGGAGTCAGCCTGCCTCATGTCTGCCAGGAATAGACCTGCCTTGGTCTCACTCCTGGGAGTGAATGTGGTGATGGGTTAGAACATAGCGGTCAGAGTAGCTGACCAATTACTCTGATGCTGGAGATCTGAAGGGCACTTTCTCATGGCTGCCACATAGCCACATCAGTGGTTCCAATTCCTTCCCAACCCTCCCAGCAAAACAACCACAAAGGAATTTTCTTAAAGGGCACAGACCAGTAAGATGGAGAGAATAGGAAAGGCATTTCCAACAAAATTTTGGAAACTGGATGTATGTTTTTAATCTGTATTTATTCAGAAATCCTTCAAGATACTTTATTTTCAGTCCCCCAGGCTTTCTAATAGATGCACTCAAGACTACAAATTTCCCTTTGAGTACTGCTTTGGCGTCTCTACCCCAAACTCTCAGAGTTATATGTAACCCTTTCCTTTTGTGACAGTGGTATCTAACAGCCTATATAAGCCAATGATTTTATGGCTGATTGTGGTGTTGTATAAATGTGATCTTCACAAAAGGGTCTATAGAACACCTGCACAGGATGACTGAGCAGAACTGGTGGGTCATTTCAGTTCAGTTTAACAAATAGTCTCTGTGCCCTACCAGTGCCTGCCTTGTGCTAGGAACTGGGAACATGGAGTGAATCAGAGAGATGCATCCGGACTATAAGAACACAGAACAGTAAGTGCTCTGATGATGGTAGTACTGGCACTGTGGCAGAAGAAGTGTTGGGTGCCTAGCTCTGCCTCTGGTCTTCATGGGAGACTTCTTAGAGG